GCAGTTCACAATCACGTGACTTTTTGCACATCGATGTACACATTATGTCCTAAACGTCAAGTGGTTATGGATGTGTGTGTGTGTGTATGTGTGTGTGTGTGTGTGTGTGTGTGTGTGTGTGTGTGTGTGTGCGTGCGTGTGTATGTGTGTGTATGTGTGTGTGTGTGTGTGATAGAGAGAGAGAGAGAGAGAGAGAGAGAGAGAGAGAGAGAGAAAGAGAAAGAGAGAGAGAGAGAGGCAGTTCACAAGAAGGGAGAGGTCAATGAAAATGTGCAGTTCAAAACCACACGATGTTTTGCACAGCAATGTACACATTGTGTCCTAAAAGTCACATGGTTATGGATGTGTGTGTGTGTGTGTGTATGTGTGTGTGTGTGTGTAGCGGACCCACTAGGTGTGGTGCTCTGCTAGTGATAGAGATGGAGATGGAGGAAAAAGGGGGGGAGCAAGATGCACAGCGCAGCTCCCCACGCAAGACTCCAACGCACGCACTCTAAAATGTGCAAGTGTAGAATGAGAGCGAAAACAGACAACTGTTGGGGTATACCCTTGCGGACTGACGGGACTGGACTGGACTGGCAGGTATCGACAGAGGTACCAGCCTGGACTGGACTGGACTGCCCCCGAATAGAACATAGGTCTGTGAGAACAGGCCAAGGGGCTGTCTCACAGGCCAACCAACCAGAGGTCCGCTACATGATCCTCGGCTTGTAAAGGATCGCCTAGATCCAAACATGCTTCCGCCAAGAAGCGGAACTCTACCAAAGAAAAAGAAAAACTGAGTAGTGTAGGATGCGGAGCAAGTTCCATGCTAAGTCCATGCGATGCAACCGACGATATAAAATGTCACAAAACAGCAATGTCACAGCTAACAGCCTAAGTAAAAGCAGAAGCAACTAACTAGCATATATGTCATAGGAAAGGAGAAGCACCTAACTAGCATGCATGTCTTAGGAAAGCAGAAAGTAGTGACAACTAGATCCTAGAATGTTGGAGGCAGTAGCCTTAGTCTCATAACAACTGACTAGTGTATAAGTCCTAAGAACAGCAAAAGCAGAACAACTAAATCCTAGAAATGTCAGAGGCAGTAGCCTCAGTCTGAGAGCAACAAAACAATCAACAAGACAACCATACGTCACATGAGAAGTCTGTCGCAAACCAAAGGGTGGGATGGTCTCTGAGGGTGGCGAATGCAGCCTAGGGGTCGAAACTCCTAAGGGCATCCACACATAGTGACAGGGGGAACATATGTCATCAGGCTCAATGAGGGTAGGGAACTGGGAGCAAACAGAACTACTGACCCTAACAGATAGACCATCAGGGCGGGTAATGCTCGGCTAAGGGGTGACCGCTATGGAGTGTCGACCATGCAAAGGAACAGGGGAGTCTGGTATACTGGGCGCACCTAGATGAAGCATGCGGGGCTGCCTAACTAGGCCGTGAGGGCCGGCAGAGGGTAGAGGTGATGGGTAGGGGAATCATGCAAATGACTCCTAAAGTGAGGGAAGTCGGAGCTAGATCCGTAAGATAGGAAGCCAGGGCAACGCTACGGTCCCCATGCCTCAGCTATGCGTATACCAAGGGAGAGCCCAACTCAGGGGAACCCGGCTAAAAAGAGACCATCATGCGACACAACAAGGGTACTGTACAGGGTAAAGTGGTAAGAGAGTGATGACGTCTGAAGTAGGCAGAGCTGATTGTGACGAAATCCATGAAGCTGCCGATGACGTCCACAATGAGAAGTCCGGAATGCCGTCGAGGAAAAGCCGCAACGTTGACGAGCTGAAGTAGCAAAACTGGAGTGGATGGAGTACTGAGAAGTCAAGGACGTGGGAAGGTAAGTCAGAGTCAATCATCGTATCGAGCAGGACGACGATGAGTGTGCTGTGGATGCTCAAAAGCATCCGGCTGCTTCTGAGGGTCTTCCTCAAATGGAGCAGGCTCGACTTCAGCGGTCTCCTCAGCCGGAGGAGGAGGAGGGTCAGTGGGCTAAGGAGGAGCAGTGAACCCAACATGACGAGCACGGTCATAAGCACGCACCAACATGCGAGCGTGCTGCAAGTGCTCGAGGGGCTCCCCGGTAGCCTCCTCATCAGGGTAACCCTTCCAACGTACGAGATACTCGACGTAGGGAGGGTTGTCGTCGGTGACTCGGCGACCGATGATGTCTGAAACGAGGAACTCCTCGTGGCCGTCTCCCATGATGGGTGGAAGGCGCTCGTATGGTCGTCCAGCGAAACGCTCAGACGGTCTGCGTTAAGGACGCGGTAACAGGACGTGGTAGACATCGTGCACACGAGCCTGACGTAGGTAGTCGGGCAGCTTCACACGGAAGCTGACCGGGCTAGAAGCCGTATTAGAACTGACGGCCTGGAGGATGCGGCATGGGCCAAAGAAGCGAGGCCGAAACTTGTGAAGCATGTCCGCTTCGAGCTCTAAGTGGCAGGCATCGATAAGCACATCATCACCGACTTTGAATGGATGATCCATCCTCAATCGGTTCGCACGTGCTGCCATGCGAGTCTGGGAAGCGGCTATGTGCTCATGTGCGGTCTTCATGATCGACGTCATGTGTGCAACCCAATCATGCAGCGAGGGACAACTCGTGTCGGGGTGCATCTGTGACGGTCGGAGGAAGTCCGCGGGAACACGAGGGTGATAGCCGAGGTCGCAATAATAAGGCGACATCCCCGTGGCTGGCGAGACGGCGTGGTTGTAGGCCATCTCCGCGTGGGCAACAAGGAGATCCCACTGCTGGTCGTCACGAACAATCTTTTGGAGAATATTTCCGAGAGTCCTGTTCGTGATCTCGGTCTGACCATCAGTCTGAGGATGGTAAGACGAGGAGAAGCGGAGCTGAGTGCTGTACACCTCGTGGAACCGTCACCAGAATCGGCTGGTAAAGCGCGGGTCACGGTCAGATATGATGCTCAGAGGTAAGCCGTGGTCACGCACGACTTGGTCAAACACGATGTCGGTGACCTCACGTGCACTAATGGCATAGCGGCACGGAACAACGCGTGCACGCTTCGTGAAGCAGTCGACGACAACCAGGATAGCATCATGACTGCGAGGGGTCGGAGGGCGAAGAGGACCGAAAAGTCCATCGAGATGGACTGTAAACGACCCTCAGGGATAAGAAGAGGCTGGAGCAAACCATAAGGAAGGTGGTTCGCACTATTCACCTCCTGACAGGTGGGACACTCTGCGACGTAGTCCTTCACAAAGTCCTTGCGCTTCGGCTAGACGTACAGGCGGCTCACACGAGCCATCGTCTTGTGGAAGCCCATATAACCGGCGGCTGCCTGGTCATGGAACTCTGCTACTGATCGGATACGTAGTTGTCCAGTGGAGGGAACACAAATACGGGGCTCTCTGGTGCCCTGTGAACCGTGCCAGTACACAAGACCGTTGTCCCCGAGAGAGTAGTTCGGGACGATCTTGCCACTCCGAAGGGTCGCGTGGATGTCGCGATAGTCGGGGCAGTGGCGGTACTGAGTGCGAAACTCGTCGATCACCGAGTGGKGGACGGTGGTGACCGAGATGGAAGAGAGCTGGATCTGCTCTTGATCGTGGTCAGGGCGCCGGGATAAGGCATCTGCGACCTGGTTAGTCTCACCCTTGATGTGCTCAGTGGTGAAACTAAACTCAGATAGGTCGCCCCACCAGCGAGCCTGTCGAGGAGTGAGCTTCGGTTTCGTCAGAAAAGCCTGGACAACAGAGTTGTCCGTACGCACCGTGAACGTTGCCCCGTGCAGGTAGTGACGCCAGTGCTGAGCGGCATAAACTACTGCGAGAACCTCACGTTCATCAGCAGTGTAGTTTATCTCGGCGGGCAGGAGCTGACGGGAGTAGAAGGCTATCGGACAATCACGTCAGCGAGACTCGACAGTTCCGTCCTCGACGATGGTAGGAGAATAGTCAATAGAAGGTTCGTCAGTAGCGGGACGAGTAGGCGTCAGTCAGGAGGCAGTGGGAGGGGTAGGTGGTGGGAAGCGAGGGATACGAGGATGAGAGGAATCAGGAGAGGAGGGGAAGACATGGAAAAGCACTGCTCCTACGGCAAAGTCTGATGCATCGGTGGTAAGGATAAAAGGGCGATCAAAATCGAGTAGGTGAAGAACCGGTGCGCATGTCACCGCCTTCTTGAGGGTGCGGAAGGCGTCCTCGTGGAGGGGTGTCCAAACCCAGGGTGGGTTCTTCCGGAGGAGGGTGGAGGTAAGGACGTAGGAATACCTAGCGTATCCCCGGATGAAATTACTATAGTAGCTGATCAGGCCTAGGAAGCTTCGAAGCTGCTTGGCGGATGTGGGGGCGGGCCACTCCGCAATAGCAGTGATCTTCGCGTAGTCCATGTGGAGACCTTGGTCAGACACGTAGTGTCCTAAGAAATCCACTTTGTGCTGGGCAAAGCGGCACTTGCTCAGCTTGGCGTAGAAGCCATGTCTGCTCAAGCGGTCAAGGACGTTGCGGAGGTGTCTGAGGTGCTCCTCAAGGGTACGACTTTAGACCAGGATATCGTCAAGGTAGACGAGAACGTACTGCTCCACGATGTCCCTGAAGATGTCGTTCATCGCCCTCTGAAAGGTAGCGGGTGCGTTGGTGAGGCCGAATAACATCACCATGAACTCATAGTGGCCGAAGCGCGATCGGAACGCGGTTTTCGGTTGGTCGGCTGCAGCGACGCGTATGTGATGGTAACCGCTACGAAGATCAATCTTCGTAAAGAAGCGGTTGCCTGCTAGGCGGTCGAACAACTCATCGGAATGAGGCATGGGGTAGTTGTTGTTACCGTGTACCGGTTGAGACCGCGGTAGTCGATGCAGAGACGAAGAGTTTCATCCACTTTGCGAGCAAAGAGGACGGGTGCACCCCACGGGGAGTTGCTGTGTTTAATGAAACCAAGTCTTAAGAGCTCCTCAAGCTGAAGCTTGAGCTCGGTGGCCTCGGGGATCGAGAGTCTGTAGGGTGCCTGGTGGTGAACACGATAGTCAGGCACAAGCTCAATGGAGTGCTCGACGTCAGGTATCGGTGGGATGCCGGCGTACGAGAACGACGATGGGAAAACGTCGTGGTACTCTCGGATGAGGTCACGAACTGCGGGCTCCAGGTCAGCCGTATATCGTGCGAGTTCCTCAGCGTCAGCGTCAGCGCGCGACGGAGGGGTGGACACAACGGACGGCGAGGTGTGGGAAATAGAGATGGGAGCCATGGAGATCGAAGGAGGATCTCGCTCCATAGGGATGAGCTCGACGTCGAGACAGGGTGGATCATAGTGTAAGAGATCCGTCACGTTCACCATAAAGAAGGTGACGTCGTCCTGTCGGATGCAATGAGCGAACTACCAAGGCGAGGTGACAGTGATAGAAGGAGGTGGTGTGGGCACGGAAGGCTCCGGGGGAGGGGGATCGGGGCGTGGTGTCGCAGTGGTACCTATGAAAGGTACGCGATACGTCTGTTCACACTTCGTTTTGAGAACGAGAGTGTTCGTCGCCCAATCGGCCTCGGTGTTGCGGAACCGACGAGACCACGGAGTGCCGGGAATGAAGTCGTACCCCGTCTCCATCACATCGAAATGTGCAGAGAAGCAGTGGCGACGAGACGCCGGGGAATGATCAGTCGGCTTGAGAGTGAGGAAGAAAGGGAGGTCGGTGACCGTCTGATCGAAGAAGCGCTGGGTCTTGTCATCTCCTAGGGTGACGGAGATGAGAGTCGGAGATGCGGTCGTAGGTAAGCGGGCTTCTTTCACCACACGGGGGTGAAATAAGTCGCCCTGAGAAACGAAATCCCACAGCGCTGAGTACACCCTCGTGGAAGTCCCCAGTCGTACTGGGATGATCGAGAGGGTGCGATCAGGGTCAGAGAGGATGGTGAGAAGGCGATGCATGGCAGCGACATGGAGGGTGAGTCGCTCCTGACGAGCCTGGAGCATGCTCAAGTCCAGAAGAGAAGACACAACGTCCTCGCGAGTCGCAAGCTGCTCGCTGCAATGGGCTGAGCGAATGGCTCGACGCGTCGGTAGTCGCGGTGGGGAAGGAGGGGAGACGGTGGTCTGCGGAGGCGCAGACGGTAATGCGACAGAGGGCTGAGTACACTCTGTCAAGTCCTGCGATACCTCAACTCCATTAGCGAGAGGGGTGAACCGCGACGGAGATGTCGGGAAGCCCACTACAGAGGAGGGCGCAGGTGTACACTGCACCGTGGCTAGAAGGCGCCACGGGGATGCGAGGCGCCGGGGGGGGACTGAGCATGACGCTGGCGTGAAAGGTCAGGGTAGTGGCGGTCAAGGGCGGTGGTGTAAGGGCATCGTGAGGAGGTATGACTGTCCTGACGGCATCGCAAACATCCACGTCGACCCAAAATAGTCGCGCGCTCCTCAGCGGAAAGAACACCGCGAGGAGGGACAAAGCCCTGAGGGAGGTCCTGCTGAGGGACCTCGGGGGGCGACGCACCAGCGTGACCAGGGCGGCTGCGTGCCCGGGAAAGGGTTGAGAGGATGAGCTGGAGGCGCTCGGCCATAGGGAGAGTAGGGTCCTCCAGGTGGTGCTGGACGGCCACGCCAAGGTCGAGGTCATCGCTTTGGTCACCCTCTGGTGACAGAGGGGCACCAGCGTCCTGCTTACCATACTCGAGCGCGATGAAGCGGCGCGAGAAGTGGCGGCCTTGCTGCGCGGAACGGCGGGGGCGACCGCGGAAAGGGGAACGACGCTGGAAAGTGTCGTGAGAGGAGGAGGAGGCGTAACCAGTAGGCTGTGGCTGGGAGGAGGAGGCAAGGTGAAGATGGGCCCGCATCCGCTGATGGTCCCTGGCGGCCTCGTAAGCCTGCGGGGCCGATGTGAACTCGTACCGCCATAGCTCGTAGTGGTACTCGAGCGGAAGGCTGGCCAAGAAACGATCGATAAGGGCCGCCTCCGGGAGGAACGCCATGTCACAAATGAGGCGGGCGTCCTAAAAGACCTGGATGTGGCGATCCAGGCCGGCAGCGCCACCAGAGCCGGACCAGCGTGTAGTGACGACACGCTCGAAGGCGTCAGTCACGTCATATCGGGCTCCGAAGCGATCCTCGAGGAACGCCTGGAAATCCATGAAGGTCGGAGTCCGACCCGCACGAACGGAGTAAGCGTAGAAATCCTCCCAGGCGTCGGAAGGACCGCCACGCAGGCGCGTGGAGAGGTGAGCCACCCACGTGTCGGGTGCGGCACCCATGAGTTGGAGCGTGCGGGTGGCAGACTGTAGACACGCGTATGCCTGTACTGTCATACAAGGCAATGTTCGTCAAGCGGACGAGTGGTGCACCACCGTTTTGGCAGCGAGGAGAACGGGAAGCAGGGGACCGCGCTACGTCTGAATAAGTCGGCGCAGGTCCTGGAGGAGGAGGCGCAGCTGACTGTACGCCCGGACCGCATGGTGGAGCGGCGGGGGAAACAACGGCAGGCTGCACGGGAGCTGCGGTAGAAGAGGTAGGATGGGGATAGGTAGGGTGCAGGGCGAGGGAAGCGAGCCTGCATGGAAGGAAGAATAGAGGAAGAAGGGGGTGCGCCAGAAGGCGCGACCACCTGCGAGGGTGGGGGTGGCTAAAGGCGTGAGAGGGCGAGGTCGGTCCGCAGCTGGGCGATCTCGTCCTCGAGACCTCGAACGTAGGTCGAGCGAGGTGTGGCAGGGGGAGACACACGAGCGGCGCGAGGCATCCCACAATGGGGAGAGTCAGATGGCGCTGCGGTCGTGCGAAGAGGAGAGAGAAGTGGGGCACCCGGAAAAGCTGCGACCATGGTAGCGGGTTGTGGTACCGTGGCCGTAGTGACTGAGGTCTGGGCGGGTGCGCCCGTAGACTGAGGGAGGACCTGACTCGTGGCGGCCGTCGTGCTAGGGGCGTGGACGGTCACCAAGATGGCCGGGTCAAGGAAGCGGAGGAGGAAGCTCCACCATGGCCACCCCGTTGGAGGACGGGGGACCCGGACTGGGAGCCAGGAGAAGAGATAGGGTGAGGAGAGGAAGGACGACCAGCATCCTGGAGTTGTCGCACGCCGACGACAAGGGTCGCCACCTGCGCCTATAAGGGCTCAAGGGTCGCGAGTTGCGCCTGGATGGGCGCAAGGGTCGCGAGTTGTGCCTGGATGGGCGCAAGGAGGGAGGTGAAGAGGGTATGCGGATCCCCTTGGGGCTGATGGCCCTGGTCTGCCAGCAGGGGCTTGGAGCCCAATGCCATGGTCATCGCCATGTCGGCGGCGTGTGACACACCGTCGGCCATGGGGAGATAACGGACCAGACTGGAGAGGGCAGAAGAGGTCCGCGTGAGCAGAGGGCGTAGGGGGAAGTCCGGGGTAGAAAGCGGCGAACGGCGCTAGCAAGGCTAGCGCGGGCGTCGTCAAAGGGGGAGGGGTGGTTCGGGTCCAGGATGCCCGAAGAGGACGGGAAAGTAGGGGCGGGTTTTGAAGAACCCTAAAACCTACAAAAACCCTAAGAAAACCCTAACCGAAGTTTAAGTGGTTAGGGTAGGGTACCGGTGACCTAATCAAGAAAGTAAAATAGCAAGCATAGGGGGGGGAAGGCGGGAGAAAAATAAATAAACAGCGAGATTTCGAGAGAAAATAAAAATAAATAAGAAAATAAATAAATAATAAAAATAATTACAGAAATAAGTAAAAAGATGTGAAGGGAAAACAATATTTATTTTTTTGAAATTTTCGGCAGCATTTCCCTACCCCCCACAGGGTCAAGAATGTGCCAAGGGGAAAGGAGAGACCAAGGTGAGCACACTAGGTGTCAAGATGCCGCAAATAAAAAAAAAGAATTTTCAAAAAATAAATAAAGAAATAAGAAATAAAGAAATAGATAAATAAATAAATAAGTAAATAAGTGGGTGAGGAGGTAGGGAGAAATGAAGTATCTGATTTATCAAAAATTTCAGCAGCATTTCGTTACCCCCATGGGGTCGAAGTGTGTCAAAAAAAACTAAGTAAGGGAAAAATCAGAAAATTTCGCCAGCACTTCGTTATCCCCACGGGGTCAAAACATGTGCCGAAAGCAAGACAGACTCACACCTAATCAGATTTAGGGTTACCGTAAAGAAAATCGAATTTTCAGAATAAATAGAAAAATAAATCAGAAAATGAGAAAAAAAGGTAGGAAAGAATATATTTCGAATTTTTGGAAAAAATAGAAAGTACAAATCAAAAGGGAGATAGAAAAAAGGAAAACAGAAAAATTCGAAGTAGGGGGGGAAGGGGGGATGAGAAAGTGATGGAGAGAAGAAAGAAATAGGTGGGAGAGGAAAAAGGTGGAAGTGGAAGGTGGAGGGATGATGTGGTGGCAGTTGGGGAGAGGAGGGTGAGAGAATGGGAGAGAAAGAGGATGGGAAAGATGGAGAGTGATCAAGAAACTAAGAGGAAAAAAGGAGGAGAAAAAAGAAAAGAAATGAAGAAAATAGGGTAAGATAGTGGTTAGTGGGAGAAGAGGCGGGGTAGGGAAGGTAAAGAGAGGAGGGGATAGAGGCAGTGGAAGGTGGGGGAAAGAAAAGGGGAGAGAGAGATGATACCTGGCCCTTGGTGTCTCCAAGGGCACAAGGTATACCAAGACCAGGATGGTCTTGGCCTTCGCTGCAGCCAACCAATTGGAGGATGTAGGGGGGCTGAGATCTTGATCAGCCCCTAGTTGCAGCACTGCAGATCCAGGGTGTGCTGTGTGAGCATACCCTGATGGAGGATGATGATGATAAAGGGTTGGCTGAGATCTTGATCAGCCACCCTACTGCCACAGTCACACAACCCCCCAGCCAGGGGGAAATCTTGAGTTGCTGCAAAGCTGCTGCTGCAGCAGTAGAGAGATAGTTAAAAAATAATAATAATAATAATGTTGTGGCCCAGCCCCCTAACCAGGGGGGTCTTCAGTCCACAACAAAGTGCCACGTGGTACTGCAGGTGGCCACGTGCACAGGCAGCAGCAACCACGGGGGGGGGCGGGGGGGGGTAAATAGCAGCCTCTCCCGTTGCTGCCTTGCAGACCGCTGCTCGTTGCTCGCCGGCGGGGGGGGGGGGGGGGGGGGTAAATAGCCAACACGTCTTCAACACGAAGTTGTCGTGCTACAAGGTCATGCTTAGACTGTGACCAGTGTGTTATGAGGGTGGTACACGCACGCGCATGGCCAACAGCTGCTTGGGTTTAAGCCCCAGTGGCAACATGCATCCTGGATCTTGATTAATATAATTCGGGAGCGGGGCGAGGGGGGGCAGCAGGGCAGCGTGGGCGTGCGGTGGCCTTCGCCTTGGCGCTTGCGCGCATGCACCTCTTGCGGTGCCTGCTTTTTTTCGCCACTTGTCCCCTCCTGCAGGCGCCTGTTTTTCCCGTCGTTTTCACCCAAAAACAACGAAAAACCCTGTTTCCGTCGTTTTCACTCAAAAACAGCGAAAATACCCGTTATCGGGTTCGCTGTTCTCTCAGTTGTACAGTTGTACGGGGTGGTGGGTGGGAGCGGGCAACGTTCCCGCTCCGATACCAATGTAGTGGACCCACGAGGTTTGGTGCTCCTCTGGTGATAGAGATAGAGATGGAGGAGGAAGGGCGAGAGAAAGATGCACAACGCACCTCCCTACGCAAGACTCCAGCGCACGTACTCCAAAATGTGCAAGTGTAGAATGAGAGCGAAAACAGACAATTGTTGGGGTATACCCTAGCGAACTAACGAGACTGGACTGGACTGGCTAGTACCGACAGAGGTACCGGTCTGGACTGGACTAGACTGCCCCCGAATAGAAGACAGGTTTGTGAGAACAGGCCAAGGGGTTGGTCTCACAGGCCAATCAACCAGAGGTCCGCTACAGTGTGTGTGTGTGTGTGTGTGTGTGTGTGTGTGTGTGTGTGTGTGTGTGTGTGTG